ACCTTCAAAACCCCTGCCATAATCATATTCGCTAAATTCATCCTCATATTGACTAGTCCGTCTTCGTGGTCCTTCAGCACCGTAGAGATCATACTGAGCACGCTTGTCTTTGTTAGAAAGAACCGCATAAGCATTGCCAAGAGCTACAACAAGTTTTCAAAGTTATAACAACAAACTGGAAATATAATAATCACCGTTAAAATCCATGATCGAAAATGAAGTGTTTTATAAATAACAGTAGTACTGCACAAATTTCTCATATCTTTCACTTAGGAAAATAGCCTAATGCTGCATTATAAAAGATAAACTCTCAAAAGTTCATCATCCAAATTCCCTTTTAATGTTAAAATATCCGGTTTAAATAATATCTGATCGAAAGATCCGGTTAGCTATCATAATCATTACAGATTATTTATCATTGTACTTTTTCATTCGTAAACATTTTACAAAAAAAAAAACAAAAAAACATCTTTGTTATATATTTCAATTCTATTCTCAATCAATCTTTATACTATTTCCATTTGCTTGTTTCATATCATTTATGATTTGGGATAACAATGTATATATATATATACATATCAGTAAAGTTGAAGCATGGGATTGGGAGGAAGCGGGAGAGCGGGAAGAGAATGTTCGTAGATGATAAAACCATAAATATAACAGGAATGGATAGGAAATTTTGTTCATGATAAAACCTTAAAAATATCTTTTCATATTCAATTATTTCTGAGAGCAAATTTTAAAATTAATTAAAAATACTTTTAAATTTTTTCAATTTATGTTTTAATTATACTTTAAGAACAAAAAAATGGGAATTTATTTGAAGTGAATAATTATTTTAAAAATAGAATAGGAAATAATTATCGATGATTTCATATATTATCAAAAATCATTGTTAGCAAAGAAGAAAACGAAAAACTAATTGTGTACAGAGATTATAGAGTTGTACTTGTTTTTTTTTTTTTTTTTTCCATCCAATAATATTTTTAAACATTTATCGTTGTTAAGTATTATACTAATCTTTTTCTTTTTTTTTTCTTTTAATCATTACTTTATTATTCTTTCTCTTCCTCTCTCTCTCCCGCTCCCTCTTTCTCTCTTTTTTATCTTTTTATTACTTACCATTTTTTTGTTTTATTTTAAAATTTTTTTGAAAAAGTTTTTTTTAAATTTCTACTTTTAAATTATTTCAAACAAATAATCATTCATATTTCATAAACATTTTTCTTTCACAATTTCCCCATTTCCTGTCTTTTGTAATATAAATGTATTCTATGCATGATAATTGATTCTTTTTTCTTTTTTTTTTTAAATGTCGTTATTATTTTCATGCTTTAAAGATACGATATCATTTCATAAAATTAATTAATAATATCGATTGAATAAAATATGTTATATTAATCAATCATCCATCAAATAAAATATCACATTGACAGGTTTTATTTATCAGTGTATATTTACTTCGTCAACTTTCTTCGGATATATTTTAATGCTCTAACGATGTGTCATATTTTATCTGATCAACGTAAGATTTTATTTTTTTTTCAAAAAATTAAAAAAAAAAAGAAAAATTTTTCTTTTCCTTTTCTGTATTTATCTGTTCAAACATAAAATTTTATTCGAAAAATTTTTAAGTTTTAATTTTAAAACCAATATTTTTATTGTTACAAAAAAAAAACTAATTCAACAAAATGGATGAACTAAACAAAATTGATAATTATTTAAATTTATCTTTTTTTTTTATTTTGATTGTTCAAATTTAAGCAAAGCAAAGTACGAGAGAAAAGGTTAAAAAATGAGAAATATCTGAATGAAATATTCGAAGTATTAATGATAATAAAATATTTTAACTAAAAATTATTATTAATTTTGAAATTATCTTTCTTATTTTTTATTTTTTTGAAAAATATTTATGAAATATTCTTTTTTATTCTTCAAATTTAAAAGTGTAAAACATTTTTCATTCCTCATAAAATTCTCAAAAAAATATAATCATTCCATTGATGAATGTTTCAGCATGCTCATCAATTTCCAAAAATATGAACAAATATTTTGCTTCTTTTTTTTTCCTTTTGTTTTTACAACCTGTTATCAACTATTTCATTATCCACGAAATAAATCATTTGGAAAATAGTTATCATAACAGCTGTCGTCATATTGCTTGAAAATGAAAATGAATGGTTAATCAGATGAAAAATTATTTCACTAATAAATAATTTCAATAATAAATTAGTTCGTTCAATTATTTGATGATATTATTGTCGCGAAAAAAAAAATGTCATTTTTCAATTAAACATTGAATGAAATTGAACATTTTTGATTGAAAATCAAACATTTCAAACATAATAATACTTAGAAAAAATATTTTTGCACGTAAAAATGTTTTGAAAATTGAAATGATTTGAAAAAATTTTGTAAACTTACATAACCATCAATTTATTTCTTTTGCCTTTTTCTCCCCCAACCTAAAAAAAAAAAACTAAAATCCGATTTAAATGATGTAAAATTGTTGTGTTACTTGATTACAACAACATAAAAATTCCAGACATTTCAAGTAGGCTAACATAAGCTTAATGAGCAAAATCTAGACCGATCCATTAGCACAATAAAATTTAAAGCGAAAAAAAATATATTTATTTATATATGTAATGTTGAAAATGTCGTAATTCGTTAGAAAATTAAAAAAAAAAATTTTCAAAATACAACGGTAACTTTAATGATGCGATACATTTCGGAAATTGTTCTGAAAAAAAAATTATTAATTTTATTAGTAAATTAATTGATAAATTTCATTGATAAAAAAATGATTTTTAGTTGAAAATATCACAAATATCAAAAATTTTGCAAAAAAAAGAAAGTTTAAAAATTCTATCCTTTTGTTTTTTCGCCTGAAATTGTAAAATAATATCTGCAACGGTACTAATTACTTTAAAAGTTACATAAGAAACATATATTTTAAATGTTTTTACATTGGTAAAAATTAGCAAAAAATATTTTCAAAATATGCTTTATAAAGGAGGTGAAATTTGAATGATTAATTTTGAATAAATTAATCAATAAATTGAATTTAGAATTATGCGAAACATTTGATCAACTTGATATTAATCAGGATGGTCGTTTAAGCCGGAATGAAATAGCGGTATTGTGGAAGTTAATGAATGTTGAGCCAACAAGGATGGAATTGGATTTTATTTTTCAAGAAATGGATCCAAATAGTATGCATTAATTATAATTAATTATTTATAATTCATTTGCTTTGCTTTTTTTTTTGTTGAATTTTTTTTTTTACAATATTTACAATTTGAATTATTAAAATGATTCATTGTTTATATAAGAAATAACTTATTCTTTAAAATATTGTTTATTTTTGCTGTCAGAAAATAAACAAATTAGAAGAAAAATAAGGTAAAGAAAGAGTAATAATGATAATATATCATTATTTAATGTAATAGAATAAAAGTCATTTTAGAAAATTAAAAAAAAACAATTCAAAATTTACCTATTTTTTTGTGAATAATTTTTGTAATGAAATTATAAGGTAGGTTTTCGTTTTGGAAAATTCGATTCATTTATTCATTCACATATTTATTAACAGAATGAATATGTCGTCTTCATGAAATACAACTTATGATTAAATATAAGTAATATATTAAAAAAAAAAAAGAAAGAAAGTGAACATCTTAAATTTAATAAATAGGCAATTAACAACAAAAATTCTCCAACTTATTTTTCCTTTTTCTCTTTCTCCTTTTCTCTCTTATTTTTATACATTAATAATTTTCCGATTATTTCATTTCAATTATGTATTTTAAGTAGAACGATTCATATTACAAAAATTCTAATAAAAATTAATAATAAAAAAGCGAAAAATTTCTACAGTCTTATCAATATTTGAGAAAAAAAGTTGGAAATCATAACATATTATTGGCTGAAAAATCATAACATATTATTGATTAAAAATCATAACATATTATTGATTAAAAGTCATAACATATTATTGATTAAAAATCATAACATATTATTGATTGAAAATCATAACATATTATTGATTAAAAATCATAACATATTATTGATTGAAAATCATAACATATTATTGATTGAAAATCATAACATATTATTGATTGAAAA